GTCTTGCTGGATGGCAGCACAGCCTTCTGGCTCCTCTTAATCTGGGAGGAAGCTATAGGAAAAAGGTGGTTTGATAGACTGTCATGCTATGGGGAAGAATGGGAGTAATATGAGATGCACTGTGATTCAAGTTTGAAAACCTCTGAATGGAAAATCTCATGATTTGAAAAATCTCTGAATGTGTGATTTGCTTATTATTGGGTATTTTGAGATCTCATAATGACCAAAGCTGTAAGACTGCTGAAAGGATGGGATCAGAGACATCTCCACTTATCTGTAACTTGTGGTATTGAGGGCTACTGCTAATATAAGGCCCCTGTGAGAGATTCATGACTCTCTAGAGCATGCCTATTTGCGAGGCAGCGAGAGGAACGACACAGCATTAGGTCAAAGATGCCTCATTTTCAGTTTTCTGCATGTCACACGCTTTCAGGACTGACCTTTATTTGGATTTTTAGTGGTTTGGTTTCCTTCTGCTCAAAATTAAAGGAAGGACGAGGAAGTGCAAATTTTAGTGTGTTTTAATGCAAAATCCATCTCTGAAGAAAGGAGTAGAAAACAAAGAGTGAAGATGAGGAAAATGGCATGAGTGAAGAGTCTCCTAAAGCTATGGCTTGCTCCTTTACCCCTGCATGAAAAGGACCCACATCCTTCCCTGTGCACTAAGGCAGAGCTGGGATGAAGGCAGATGGGATGGGTCCCCAGAAATCATCATCACAGCTCCAGCAACAGTTGACCCACCTGCCATGGCAATATCTTCCAGGGGAACCAATAACCCAGCAGAAAACCCTCTTGTGCGTTTCAGCATGCTACTCTCTTGGGAACCGACTCCAGCAGGATGGCCAGACCTGGATGGAAGCTGAGCATATTTATTCCATGACCATGTGGCTCTTTGTGGCTACCTTGATCCATGGAAGATAGGAGATCTTTACATGCCTTTGTAAAAGATTTGTGCACACACATGACCACCAGTCTTCCCCGTTTCTGCACAACATGCAGTGACTGAAACCTGAGGGTTTGGAGCTGGTTGGTTCAGATACAATAACTACACCTAGTTTTAAACTCAGACTTCAGGGAAAGAAGAAAAAACAAATCACCAAAATTGCATGGTATCACAAAATAGCCTTCAAAGATGTTTTTTAAATTAACTTAACTTTTAAGATTCTTAGTGGCACTTAAAAGACTGCATTAGAAATGGTCAAATGCAGCAGTAAATTACAGTGTTCAGCTGCTGTGAATACAGGATGTTGGATTTTTGTGAAATGCAGGGGTATAAGAAAAAGAAGTTCAATAGTACTTCTCTAACAGTTAAAATTCTATCTGCTGAAAATAGCATTTTGTTATTTTTAGCACTGTAGTAGAGAGAGGTACTAAACTTGTGACACAAGTTTACTTGTGAAACAAGTGACACAAGAGGAAGAGCAAGCAAAAATCAAATTTAGAATAAATAAATGATTTCTTAGTTAATTTCTGAGTAATTTCAAAATAGACTTCACAGAAACACAGTCTAGTAGCTTCAAAATACTTGAAACTTTGACAGGTAGTATTTTCAACACAATTATACTTGTTTATTTTTCTAGTATTTCAAATAAAATTTCTTGTTCATTCACTCACACATGTATTCATTTCCTTCCCTGGACCTATCCCTCTATTTCTACATCTGTTCTGCCAAAATAAAGTATAGAGCTGTCTAGAACTCTCCTCACTTTCAGACTGGCTGTTTACTTTTAATGAGTTTTTATGGCGGTGGTGATGTAACCCTAAGCCTGAAATATCAGCACAGTTTTCTTATTAACACACTGCCATGGACCATGCTTAGATAATTTTTTTTCTCTCCTTCCTCTTGGCATTTGCCAGGTAAAGCAGCTAAACCACCCTCCATATTGACTGCTCCTACTCCAATTCCTCCACCACCTGGAAGGAGGAAAGGGGACCCTGGACCAGCAGAGAACCATGATGCATCAGTAATTCTCTAACCTGGCAAATACTCATAGAATCATAGAATCATAGAATGTTGTGAGTGGGAAAAGACCCACAAGGATCATCAAGTCCAACTCCTGACCCTGCACAGGACAATCCCAACATTCAGGTCATGTGTCTGAGGGCACATGTTGGCCAAATGCTTCCGGAATCTTGTCAGGCTTGGTGCCATGACCCCCTCCCTGGGGAGCCTGTGCCACTGCTCCACCACCCTCTGCCTCAAGAACCTTTTCCTCACGGCCAACCCCACCCTCCCCTGCCACATCTTCCTGCCATTTCCTCTGCTCCTGGCGTTGGTGGCCAGAGAGAAGAGATCAGCACCTGCCACTCCTCTTCCCCGTGTGAGGAAGTTCTAGACTGTGATGAGATCGCCTCTCAGTCTCCTCTTCTCCAGGCTGAATAAACCAAGCGATGTCAGCCTCTCCCCATATTGGCTTTCCCTCTAAGCCCTTCACCAATTTTGTGTCCCTAATACTGGACTATTTTACATGTATCCTCTTTCCTGGCCAGTCCGCTTCACTGTGTTAAACTCATGTTACAGCCCAGATATCAATGTCTATTCCCAGGATGGTTTTGGGACCGCAGCCTTATTGCTATGAGAGTGCTAGAAACATGCACACCTTCTCATTCACCTTCCCTCTGTTCTTCCTTTACGAGCACATCTGGGCTGATGCTGCTTAGACCGCACTCAGGACAGGAACCATGGTTTAGTGGCACATCATTGCAACTAACAGCATCAAGCTCTTACATGTGCTCTTCCTACAATCTGCAACCAGGGCTCCAGAAAACTGTGGGCTAGGAAAGCTGGTCAGCAGACAACTACTATCTCTCACTTAAAAGTTGTCCATGTCTGGAGATGTGGTTAGATCTTGAGTCGATATGGTTAGGCCTTGCATAGGCCATCCAACTTGAGAAACATAGCAAGGTAAGCCCCATCACTGATTTCCCATGGCCAACACAATAACCATGACCAGGACTGATCTGTACCAGAGAAATGACCACGTGTACGTATGAAAGCTCTGGGATCAATTGTGCACATGCCTTCTGTCACTTCTAGAGTTCCAAATGCTCAGAGAAGGAGTAAGCTCCTTAATAAGTCAGGCTCCTCTCCTTGACATAATTTTCAGGGGCTATAAAGTACCAGGAGACCTGGCAAGACTGCTGGAGCTCAGTGCTTCTGACTAGAGCCAGAAAAAAGCTTTACTTCAAGCAAAGTAATCACTCACAGCACAGATCCTGGAAAATTAAACTTAATTCGATCCCAATAATTATTACAGCACACCAAGAGGTCTTTTTTTTTATTATTTTTGCAAGATAGAGGCCAGTGATATTAAGAGAAAACTAGAATTCAAGCCATCATAGTAAAATTCATGATAAATCTAGATTGTTCAGCCACCAACTTTGAAATTGCTATAAATGAGACTTCACAGCCTCTGCAAGACTCATAGCAGAATCTATGCAGCCGTCAAAGTTGGAACGAGTAAATCCATCACCCCCGCAAATCAGAAGAGGTTGAGTATGAAGAATCATATGTCCCAGACAATTGGGCACAGCTTTTGTAACCTGAAAAAGAAAAGCATACAAGGAGTTGGAATAGTGTTTTATTTACCTGAATTTCACACCTGAAAGGTCTGTATTCCTGAGAAACACACCTTCATGTGAGGTACCCCTCCCACCCCAGATCATAGGTCCAAGCATTAACTCTCAAATTACCATAGTAAAATATTTATCTTCTGGAGTTAAATAATTAGAATAAAGTTTTCCTGTATGTAGAAATTTAGAAACTTCACAGCTCCATCCTGTCTTATTCTCAGTTGATCTCAGCAGAAATTAATTGCCTGACTCTGGAGAGATGAGTCATGGAGTTCTCTATGCCAAAAGGTAGGAAGACATATAACCTCGTATCAGCAAAGGTGAGTTCGCAAAAACCCCCAGATACATAACTGTTCAATAAAGGAAAGGGAGCCTGCTGTTTCTGAGAGAGCCTGAAACATGACTGAGTTGACCTTGTGACCTTCCTGCATGCGAAGTGAGGTGGACTTCAGAGTAACAACTGGCATGATGACCTGCCCGTCATGCTTCATGCTGCTGTGCAAGCGTACATACAACCCACCTGGTCTCTCTGCTATGCTGGTCTCCTTTTTCACACAACAATTTTTAGACACTACTAGAGATACAATCAATGCTTTCTATGTAAGCAGCATGGGACAAGTTCTGAATAAGGTTGCTTTGATAAATATTTAATGTCATTCTCAATGTATGCATTGCATACACTTTAAATATTATTTTCTTGGCAATATCCTCTATTAAACTTGTATCTGTGGAGTGGCAGCTCTTGAGCAGTTCTGTACAACCCTTCTAAAAGTGAATGGACTTTGCTTTGGCCAGTACCTGTTAATCTGGAACTCATGGTCATGTACTTTGTGACAAAGACCAACAGTGTCAAACAGCAGTGTAAAAGCACATAGCATTTGTGTTTTTACCATGCTTGGCTGTGTCACACATTGCTGTAGCCTGTTTCTAACCTACGTACAAAGGCTGAGTGTCCATGTTGTACTAAACCAGTGCACCCCAGAGCAGCACCGGTGAATCTTGGAATGGAAATAAGGCAGCAGCCGCAGCAGCAGTAGTACTGGCCTAACAGTAAACATGAGGGCAATGTAGGCTCAGGCAAAAGGGAGAAAAAAGATAAGAAGATGCATGACAGCTTGATGATGATCATAGGAAGAAGGTGGGAAGAAATAGTCCAAGAAAAGGAATGACAAAACAAGACTCATAAGAATGAAATGTTGAAAAACAGGAAACAATATCTAGAAAGCCAGAGCAGAAGCACAGCAGTAGACCAGCAACAGAGATCAAACCATAGAGATCATAAAGCATGATACAGAAAGTACAATTTTATTTCTTAATTTCAATCATTTCTTGACTTTCTGCCTTTGTTCCAAAGATACGTTTTGGATTCAAATCTATCTTTTGGTCCAAAGATATGTTTTGGATTCCTGTGCAGTACACCATCACTGTACCCCATCATGCGACTGTCAACTTCAGTGAACAAGACATAAAGTCTGAGGCATCTTGCTCAGTCTGGGGGACTTTTCCATTGATTCAAATGTACACTCAGCTAGCCACTGCCATGCTGTTATCTGCCATTTCCAAGTACGGATCAGCTGCAAAACACCCACATGTATGATACTGGCTGCATTTTATGCTATCAGCATGTTAGTGTCTCTTTAGAGGAGGTAATTATCTGAAATGAATCTGTAGCCATTTGTGACCCATTCTCCATTATCCCACTTAACAGTCTAGCTATGTATGGTAAATCCAGCCAGAGATCATCTTTCTCAGACTCATTTTAGGTCAGTACTTCATTTATTCCTGAATTTTTCTTAATAGATCAAGGTCACTGAATATAAACAGTGAAGTAAGGTTAAGCAGAAAAAGGTTTTTTTGAGTATCCTTTCTTCTTGACTTTCCAGTGCTTATTTGATGCTGGCTGTACCAAACAGCTTCTGGTTTGTTACACTGATCACAGGATTAATGTTTTCACATCTCAACCTGCATCTTTTCACCTGTGTGGCAAGACTGTGTGCTCAATGTAGCAAAGGACCTCACTCTAGTCACAGTGACTGTGGAGAGGAGTGATCCTGCCCCTTCTCCCAGTTCTTCTGAAGGTGTTGTCCAACATAAATGCCAAATTACCCTTGGCCCATTGGATCTCTATCCTCGAAGACTTCAAGACTCAGCAAGACAAAGCCATGGACAAGGTCACCTAGTGATGGTTCTGCTTTGAGCAACAGGTTGGACTAGAGACCTGAAGTGGTCCCTTCTGAGGTCCCCTATGAAGGGGTACAATTTCTATGATTCTGTGTTTTCCAGTATCCCTTATCCATACAAATGGACTCTGTCAAAGGGACATGATGCGTTGGGATGCTGTTGGCTCTGAATGCTAATAGTGTTTTATCATCATTAAAGGAGGGGATCCAGAATTGCAGCTGTGCTGTTAAGCAGTGTCAGTAAAAGTCTGGAAGTCCTAATCCCTCATCCGCCATGGATAATTGTAAAGTTTGTGTTTTAATTCCAGGATTGTGTTTGGCCATGTGAAGGACGTTATAGCTGGATTTAATTAACAACTAGGATAAGTCTTGTCTAAAAGAGTCAGCGGAAAGATGCAACCATCTTACCAGTTCCCCTTTGCTTCTGTGGCAACAGCTTATTATAATTGAAAGTAAAGATAGCTTTAAGAGAAAGAGGGAGCTCTGTCCCAGATATTTCATTTAGGTAGTGATTATTTTATAGGGTGGCAATAGAGATCTCTTTCTTGAGACAACAGACCTGACCTACACTGACTTATTTGCAAACTGAGTCATATTGACATTCACTCCCCAAATTAAAGACTGGTGATAATCCCTCCTGTGACACAGCCATAAAGCAGAAGCAGTTGCTGAAGTCGGTGGGTTTGGTTAGTAGCAGCATCGCTGATAGCAGGCAACAGAGGCAGGAGAAGAAAGTGGGAAGAGCTGTAAATTGTACAGTGGTTTGGGAAAATAATAGAGCATCATCTAGCAGTATGATGTATGAATGTAATTTTTAAATAAGGGAAACAGGATGCACACCTAGTGATTTAGGAAGACAACAATTTTGAAGCAACTGTGGAAAATAAGAGTTCATTTCTACAGTGACTGTTCCAGCAATCTCTTAAAGATGAAGCAATATGTACAAGGTTACAATAAATCCTGTAAGAACAGAATTTTGACAGGATTCAAAAAGCATAGTTGTTTCGTAAAATTCAATTGAGACTTTTTATTTTAATTCAGTAGTAAGAAATTAACTGTCGTTCTTGTCTTTTACTTTATCCATGTTTTCATGGTGAAATAAAGCAGAAAGGGACATATATAATGTGTATGCTCATACGTTAGTTACCTTTGGCATGATGCTAAAAGTGTGAGTAGTGCAAGAAAAAAGTGTATTAAGGCCTTTCCTTGCACACATGAACAAATTTTACAAATTTGATGACAGAGCTCTGTCATAGCAGCAGTATCTAGGGTGTATTAATTCTGTTTAAAAATACTTCTTTCTTTGTTTGGGAAGCCCTTTCCAGAGCTGGTCAACCAAGTATCTGTCTGTGGGAGACAATAGATCCTATTCTTCTTCTCCCTACCACCTGCAGCTCTTCTGCTCGCAAGCAATTTGAAGCAGAAAGGTAACAGATAAAGCAGAAGAAAAGATCAGAATTCACAACCAGCAAAGGATGCTTAACAGTGACAACTGTACAGAAATGCTGTTACTAGCAAAAAAAACCCCAAACCTTGAACTGATAAAGAAGAACATATAAAACATGCCATGATTTTTTGTATGAGTCATCTAAAACATAAAAACCTAGGTTAAGGTCATTTTTACACAACAGCTGAGAACGAACACACTGGTAAGTTATCTGAAAACTACCAATTCCTAACTTGCAGAAAAATAAACTCTGTGCTAATGAACCAGGTTCCTAAATTGGATGCAGATAAAGGGGTACGAACAGACTTCACAACAGCCATGTACAGTAACTTTCCCAGACTTCATAAAAGGAAAAATTTTTAGGCGACTGCTTTAAGTAAATATTTTCCATTGACTTCCACGTTCAATTTCACCAATGTAATTTCACTTAAGAGGTTTTGGGTAAACATGTAGATACACTCCAATACTTTAGGAAATTGCCAGCAATTTCCTTGGATTTTTAAAAGTCTGTAAAATATACACATTTTGCTATTATTACGCTTAGGTAGTTTACTTTGAAATATTTTTCTCATAACATACTGTTAAATTGAACTAGGTCAAATCAAATAATATCAATTAGTATGTCTGAACACAAGGACTTCTGCTACTCTGTGGTAGGGTGGGAATTCTGCTAATAATATCACATACTTTTGGATACAGAAGAGACAGATTGAGTCATATTTTAAATTCGAGTTAAAATCCCAATGAAGTATTTGGGATTTACTTCCTTCCTGTACACTGCTCTTGTCTCTACTTACCAGTATTGCTGCATAACTTACCACTGAGTCAGGTCCACTATGTAAAAAGATGACTAGAAATGATCTGGATGCTGTTGATGGCTACGTGGAGGAATGTATTACAGATACCAAGCAACTATCGCCTTTCCTCTTGCTCCCTGAGGATGACACCAAGCTGGGTGGAAGTGCTGATCTGCCCAAGGGTAGGGAGGCTCTGCAGGGCATCTGAACAGGCTGGATTGATGGGCCAGGACCAATGGCATGAGGTTCAATAGGACCAAATGCTGGGCTCTGCACTTTGGCCTCAACAACCCCCAGCAGCGTGACAGGCTTGGGGAGGAGTGGCTGGAGAGCTGCTCAGCAGAGAAGGACCTGGGGGTGATGGTCAACAGCAGCTGAACATGATTCAGCAGAGTGCCCAGGTGGCCAAGAAGGCCAAACAGCATCCTGGCCTGGATCAGGAACAGAGTGGCCAGTAGGACCAGGGAAATTCTCTTCCCCCAGTATTGGGCGTTGGTGAGGCCGCACCTTGAGTGCTGGGTTCAGTT